TATCGAAAATCTCTTACAGGCCTGTGCTGATCTACAACCGCCCATTTCCAAGGGTCACGGCCTCACGGCCACTTTTTTCCATCAACATACAACAGATAACAATTGCATCGTTAAATATACACAATATTGTTTTGATGTGCGCCAGTATGTAAGTTTTAAGGACTAAAAGCTTCAAAGGCAATAAAGAGAAAAAAAGATGTAGAAAAAGATGGAATAAAAAAGAAAGTAAAGTAAAACATAAAAAAAAATGAAAAATGAAATAAAAGACACTCTAGCCTGTGGGCGTACATCACATTTACACTACGAAATAGCCTGTGCTAAATTAATCCCAAGCATTCTTGTCTTCTATGTAATCCACAATTGAGGGATAGGCTTTCTGACATAGTTTACGTTTTATTGTGGATTTAAGTTTGTTTATACTAAAATCTTGTATACTATTTGGGATTTTATTATAGAATCGGACACATTAATCTCGAAATGACTTAATTATCTCTTGGAGTCTAGAGGCAGGTACAACAAGATAATTTCTATTTCTGGTATTAAAAGCATGTACATCACTTCTTTTCAAGAAGCTATCTTTGTTTTGATGAACATATGTTGCATTTTCATATATCTATTGACTTGCCACTGTCATTACATTTACTCCTTAAATTTTTGCCTTTTTCGGAAAGCGCGATTTACGTCTGTGAAATTAGTAAGTGTGCGTTTTAGTGTAAATAACAGTGCAAGCAAACAACACAATCTCGTGATTATCCTTGACAAGGGGAGGTAAGTCGTTAAAATATTCTAAAAAAAATATGGGCCCAGAATAGAACCTTGTGGAACGCCCATTTCTACCAAAGAACCCGGAGATCGGCCGAGGAGACCCGCCGTCTTTGACGCCAACGTACGTATATAGGAACACAATATATTTCAAGGTTATTATCGATTAAATAATAATTGCCCACCAGCCGGCTGCGCTACACTTATATAGTGAAAAAAAATATAAACACACTCATTAAATTCAACAGTAGACGCGTCTTTAAGCGTATATAAAAATTACAAAGAAAAGTTGAGAATTGCTCCACTAGTAGTTATTAACAGTAACAAAAAAGCACAGATAAATAATCATATAAACGGAAAACACGTATTAATAAAATTTCTCTAAAATAAGTTAATACAGATAAAACAATATAATAATTCAATAAATAGCGCATACGGTCAATAACTGAAAGATATCTACGGAGAATGACCTTAACCTATGACAGCCGATTGCATAAAACGTATAATTTTCAGGCAGAAAATTCCAATGATTTTCGACTCAGAATGATGCTCTGAATATACTATTACAGTAGTCGTTACGACGTCCCTTACACCCTACCCTTTTTTTTTACCGTGTGGAAATCCCCTCGGATATCACCTATAGGTGGCATGTCGGACTCGAACCGACTAAAACCGTACGCCGTCTCGGGTATTAATAGCCGGGGAACCAGGTATACCCTAGAAAGGAAGTCCCTGGTGCCCCGACATACCTCGGGCCATCTACAACAACAGGTAGACGACCCCCCCCCCCCGTGTGGGAACCCCATGTTCCCTCTGCTCCCTGGAAGCGAGCCGCCACCCCGGCTTGCTTCTGCTAGGGTGACAAATGGCCTCACCTGTCACCCCCTGGCCTGCGCTTATGGAGGACGGAGATCGTTCTGCGACCTCCGGCGCCTGAGTCGCCTGCGGTACCTGGCCCGTTCCCGGGCCTGGCGGGCCGGGAGAGTCCTAAACCTCTCCCGGTCCCGCTCCGCCGTCTCCTTCGCGAGCATAACTTGCTCGCAGAAGGAGACGGCAGAGTTCCACGCACTCTCGCTCCGCACGATAGCCGCAATCAGGCTATCGAGCGAGAGAACTCCCACTCCGATGACCGCCACGAGGTCTCGCCTCTGCTCAACCCACGCCGGGCACTCTGCCAGCGTGTGGAGAGCCGTGTCCACGGTCTGGCCATCGCAGTGGTGGCACTCAGGCGTTGGCTCCTTGCGGATCAGACACAGGTGATCCCCGAAACATCCTTTCCCAGTGATCACCTGCGTCAGTCGGTATGAGAGGGTCCCGTGACGCCTCTCGAGCCAATCCTCCATAACGGGTCTTACCGCCGCGATGACGATAAATTAAGTTTGTTTGTTTATTTATTTGCTTTCAAAGGAAAAGGAAAGCTACCGACCGTGATAACCGGCAACCGACACGCGATCAGAGCCAGGGGCAAAAGCTATAAATACATAACTTCTAGAAGTTCTGGATTGATGAACCAAATCCTGTAGAATAAAAATACAGAAACAGGTTCATCGTGGGCGTCATTTTGCGGCTCTTTCTCAACTTTTTGTGGTGTCGGCGCATAGAATAAGAGGCCTTGGGAAAGGAATTATTTTGATTAAACTTTAATTTACTTTTCGGGGTTTTAAAGTTTAATATTTTAGTTATTCCTAAATTAATTCTCAATGCGTTACGCGTTAACCATCTGATAATCTCTTTCAAGGTGATTTGTATACACGTATGTGATTCGTATTTTTCATCATTCTTACAATCTAAGATGATTGTAGCAGGCCTGGGGGTGTAGTGGTTGGTTAGTGATGCTGACTGCTACGCCAAAGATAGTGGATTCGATTCCCACACAGGACAAATCGTTTTGTTGATGTAAATTTATCTATAATATGTATGTATTTAGAAATATATAAGAATATTTATCAGCAGTCTGTTTACCATAGCACAGGCTCTGCTAAGTTTGGTACCATTTTTGTGCATTATTTGTGGTAGATCATTAACATAGATTAGTAGAAGAAAAGGACCCAATTAAGTAGAAAATACTTAATAAATTAAATATAAGTAGGTATAATAATAATAATTTACGAGGTTGTTGTGTGTTTGGTTGTGATGATAAGCTTTCAATAACAATTTCTGAAGAATCTTATATCCATGACTGTACTTAATCATCCGAAACTATCAAATAATTACTTTTTATATCTGTTTCCATATTGGATGTGATATCCGTGCTATTCCTTAAGAAATTGAGAAAAATATGCATAAATACACTTGGCTCGAGGGGGTATACAGAGGTGTGGTAAACATTTAGGCGACCCATGTACGTAATGGGATTAAAATGGGGACGAGACTATTACCGTCAGCCGAGCACATACATTTCTTAACAAACAAACTTACGTATTTCTAAATATTTGACATATAAATGCTGATATTATGAATGCGAAAGCGTGTCTGTCTGTCTGTTACCTATTTACGCTTAAACCGCTGAACCGGTTTAGATGAAATTTGGTAATGAGATAGTTTGAGCACATAGGATAGCTGTTAATCCAGAAAGCATCATTGAAGGGGTGAAAGGGGGTAGAAGTTTGTAAGGGAAATCAATAACTGTTGAACAAATTGAGATACAATTCGGTATGGAAATAGTTTGCGCTATGGGGAAGGATGTCGGCTTTTTACGGCGGTAACCGCCATACACGCGGGCGGAGCTGCGGGCAAAGGCTGGTTATAAATATGTTCTTAATTCTCAACCAGATGCTGTAAAATTATAGGTTCTAGGACATTACAAAGCTATTTGAACTACACTCTTGAATAAAATATAACATAACAATATGACATAAAAGTGGTAGGTAGGTATTGGTTTAATATATTTAAAGATAATAATTATTTATTTTACTGTACGCTTTTCGAGACACTTTTTGCCCTGCTTAACCAATCTGTGGAACGGGTTATCGACTGCGGTATTTCTGGAGCGATACGACCTTCAAACCTTCAAGAAAAGAGCGCACTCCTTCCTAAAAGGCCGGCAACGCGTTTGTGACTTCCGAGTTGCAGACGTTCATGGGCGGCGATAGTCACTTTCCATCAGGTGACCCGTCTGCTCGTCTGCCCCCTCTAACATGAAAAAAATAAACAATATTTTACATATATTACAGTCTAGGACATTGCGGTTTAACTAATCATGACACATGAAGGTTTCAGAACACAAATAAAATACACATGTATTTTATGTATAACACACATTAACATAATAATAGAATATTCTTATTGTACGGATAAAAACCCAGCCGAACTGAAATATTTGTTTCCCTTTATGAATTTATTTAAATAATTATTTGACATTGTAGTCAAATGCTCGCCGTAATAATTGTTCCGTAACAGGATAGAACTCAATAATGTACCGCACTAACAATTAACAATATGATAATTTAAACACTGCACCCAATATTCGATTTTTAAGAAACTAGTTTTTGCCCGCGGGTCCGCCCTCGTGTTTGTCGGTTATCGAGGTAAAAAAGTAGCCTATGTCCTTCCTCAAGAATCAAACTGTCTTTATTCTAAATCGGGTCAGCAGTTATTGAATCCCCATACAAACTCCCACCCCCTTTCACCCTCTAAAATAATGATCCCAGAAGATAAAAATGTCTACCCTATGTCTTTTCCCGGGACTCAAACTATTTGTATACAAAATTTTATCTAAATCGGTTCAGCGGTTTAAGCGTAAAGAGGTAACAGACAAACAGACACACGTTCATTTATAACATTAGTTTGGATTTTTATACATATCGATTGTCGAAATTATGTCATAGGTTAAATTGTCTTCATTGACATTTCATGTCGTAACGAACAATTACAGTAGTTCGGAACTGATGGGTAGATAGATGAAATGCGGACGTCACTGCGGTACATATACTATCATTGAACGCACGCGGCATTATAAAACACACTCGACAAGCAATCTTACCACTCAACAAATAAAGTGTAAAATGAATTTCTTCTATAAACGCAGACACAACGCGTCGTAGTTGTACCATATGACAAGCTTAATACAATGTTAATGTAATTTAAACTTTATAAGAGGCGCATAAAGTCGATATTATGAGGTGAAATGTTAGGGGTGGTCTAACCGCGGGGTATCGAGCGTGTAGACGGCGGCGTTCACAAGTACCGGAGCGCGCGGCCATGCTCCACGCGTCACTCGGACGATGCTACGGGCCGCGATGTGCTGGAAAAGGGTATCGAAATCACAAAAAATACTACTCGCCTTACTCCTCTACCTGACATTGTATTTAGTAGTATCGTACGCCTTAACTCCGGCGGTAAAAATCTCATTTCTAAGTGAAGAGTTCCGCTTTGGAGACAAATACGTGATAATGTTCCTCGAGGCGCCAAGAACACCTGTTTTTTTAGACACGGAAGGGGCTGATGTATTTAGTTCGCGACAGTGTGGAAAGTGTTTCATAACAAATAATATAGGTTTTCTGCCAAAAAGTGAGTACGATGCTATTCTGGTGTACGGGGAACAAACTCTTCTGTCTCAGACAGAAGCTTTCATGGATCCAGAGAAGAGATACATCATCGAGACTAAACCACGTTGTCTTTGGAGGAAATTTAAGGGCTGTGCACATCAACCGAAAGTGACTTCTTATAGTACTAGAGAGACGTTTGACTTGTGTGGACTGTGCCAGCGGTTACAGGCCAAAAGGGCCTTGTTGACTTTGTGAAGGGGTTAAAATGCCTTGTTAGGTTAAGTTACTTTGTACCTGCTAAGCCAAATGTGGTATTTGTAATGTTGGTGCTTTAACGCAAACCCTTACCTAATTGTTGTGTTTTAATGTTTTTATGTAGTGTTTGTGTTTGAATAGAAGTTTATGAATGTGGAAAAAAAATCTAGTATAAAACATTCCATGCCACAGAGCTCTGATAGAAATTATTTAAAAGGAATAAATTGAATAATTGTTTTAAACCGGTACCTACTATGATTAAGTGTAGGACAAAACAGAGGGCTTCTGCATACTTTTGAATTATGATACATTTGTTTTTCTGTTATAGATTTCACACTTTAAAACGCTTATGGCACAAACCTTTCCTTGTTATTTAATAACAACCAATAATTTTGCCCATGTGTTATTTTGTAAAATAGACTAGTTAATTGAAAAAAAAAACTTTATGTCAAAAATACAGAATATTTGTGTCAACAATGAAACATGATTTAAATATGTATAACAGTTATAACTCACGAATTTTAGAATTGTTGTGTTTTGGATTTGATCAATATTTATGAGATTTTTTTAAACTCCACTGTTAGGCAATTCTTTTGTTGCCTTGTGGGGTTAGGTCACCTCAGACCTCAGACAAGTCGTGAGGGTTGTGGCTCCCAGCCCCCTTCCCTTTGTTTTGATGATCAATCGAAGACCGGCAACCCACTTGTGACTCTTGAGTTGCGTTGTAGCCACTTACCATCAGGTCAACCGTGTACTTTTTTGCCCCAACACCATAAATAAAGGAAAAACCTTGACTTTTATGAGCAGGACTTAACTGCAAATACAAATGGAAGAATTTTTGGCTCACACTCAATCTCAAACAAAAAAAACGCGAAAAAAAAACATGTGCATATTAGATACTTTTGAGTCGATGTTTTTTTGAGGCTTCCTAAAGTTTTTTTTTTAACAGAGATCCTAAATATTAGAAAGACAATGTATTAGAAAAGGCTTCAATTGTAGATCTGTTATTGTTTACAACTTTTTGACTGTTTCTGAACTGGTCTAGTGATGAGCGATCTTGAATGCTTAGGCAGATGTCGTAGTTTCGATTCACACCCAGAAAAAATATCATTTTTCATTAGCATGGTCATTTATTTTAATCTGTGTCTGCGGGTTTTGTATCTAAAACATGTATTTAGAAATATATAAGTATATTAATCAGCAGGATGGTTAATAAGGATCTATTTAGTTTTGAAATCAAACGGACGTGTCTGAGATGATTGAACTTATTTCAATTTATATTTGTAAAATTTACATTACAATTAAATGATTTGACGACGTTAGATATTTGGACGTGTTACAGAATATACGGTACATTTGGTATTTAACAAATAAAAATAGGTAAATATATACGTTAATTAACAAGTTTTAAATGAAAACTACGCAGGACAACAGCACTGCAGAGAGAAGGAAAACTTGAAAAAATCTATACTAACCCGTCTGGCCAGCGTGGCATAGTAGGCCAAAACCTCCTTTCTAAGGAGAGGCCTATGTCCAGCAGTGGACTATTAAAGGCTGTTGATGATTGATAAAATGAAAATCAAGTAATTTTAAACTGTTTTTCCCACAGCAACAAGTTTGAGGCAACAGTTATCGATACATCGCAGTGTAAACATTACCCGAGCCTGCTATTTTTAATACATTAGAAGTGGTATATTTCTGTATCATACCATCACGTTTTTTCTCTTCGTATAATAGCCAATACAATGTTTACAGTCGACAATTATAAATAGAAATGCCTGGATTTCTAATTATTTGGCCATTTTCAGTCGGTTTTATTTAATCTTTATTGTGCAAACTAATTAATATATTATACTTAAATAACAAGAAAATGTTATGTACAAAGGCGATCTTAACCAAATTAAAAACTCTTGCAGCGAAATTTTTGAATAAATAGGACAGAACGTCAGAGCAAGGTCATGTAAATGACTTTGCTCTGACGCTTTGCTTATAAATAAGTAGAAAAAAATATAATTTAAACAAATACTTATATTTTTAATATAGGAATATCTCTATCTAAATAAAAATCAAAGTTTGTATGATTGTCCTCGATAATATCTGAAACCATTGATCAGATTGTGATAAAAATTTAGTGGGTCTCAAAAATCCATATTATAAATGATTTTTTTTTTTGTTTTTAATGAAATTTACTTATTTCTTTTCTTTTCCCTTCATTTCTTTATCGTGAAATCGCAAAGCATGCGTGGTACAGCTGTTTGTATATTTAATACATAAACGTAATAAACGGACACAAAGAACACTCAGACTCAGAACAACAATTTGTGGATCACACAAAGCGTTGTCCCATGTGGGGATCCACAACACTCAACACAGTAGGAAGCAGCGAGGTGACCGCTTAAACCACTACGCCATCCGTGCCGCAGTCATTGTCGCCTATATGGGCCTCGTTGATTCTTGATTTCATTCCATGGGGCGTCAAAATTCCTTGTCAATTACAACAATCATTTGTGACCCAAACTAATTGAACGCTTGATGATTTTTTGCACTGTATTGAAGCCAATTATTTATTCGGTGTAAGGCATACCAATATACGGTTTTTTGTATGGTGAAGAGGGCAAACTGAAAGACGGTTGCCTGATGTTAAGTGACTATCGCAATCTAAGGACACCTGCAATATTAAAGTCACAAGTGCATTCCCGCCCTTTAAATGCCCCCCCCCCCCCCCCCCCAGAATAAGGAGGGGGTTGTTTTTCCGGTTTCTATGAGGCCGTTATAGCTCTCCGATCGAGCCGGCCCAAGCATTCGGAAGCTTGACTCTCCCACAACAAATAAAAATTCTAAATATTATGCTGCATAAAGTTATAATTATAGTTAGGTACTTGTTATTATCAATAACTCGACTGCACGGAGAGCGTAGTGGTTTAAGCGGTCACCTCCGCCGTGCCTTGAGTGTTGTGGGTTTTATCACCACATGGGATAACACTGTGTGATCCACAAATCATTGCTCTGAGTCTGGGTGTTCGTTGTATCCGTTTCATGCATGTTTGTAAAGTTCCCTACACAGGATAGGTATATTCCTAGTGCGGGAGTTGATTTAAAAAAATAGAGCTATGAAAATGTGGAATGCGAATATTTATTACATCACTAGATGAGAATAGTCTTAGTTACTCGCTGTTCCGATCGTTTGATTGCTATTTTGTACAGTACAGTGTAGTAAATAACAGTAAGTCTGCAATGTGATATTGGTTCAATAAGGAAAATACCTATAAAGGAAAAATTTGCATATTTACGCAATAGTACGAGGGATATAGTCACGCTTTAGGGACGCGCCTGCCCGTGCCTGTGAGTACTATGCTATTATGACAAGTATATTCATTAATTAAAAAGTACTCGAATAGATGTTGTCGTATACGTGTGTTGTAATAATGAAGAATAACAAACAGGAATCATTATTATACTTTAGTTGTTAGCTCTTCATGTCATCATCAGCCTATCGCAGTCCACTGCTGGACACAGGCCTCTCCCATTGCACGCTACTTAGATCAATTTTGGGATTCTCGCATCCAGCTCCTGCCAGCCATCTTGCGCAAATCGTCACTCCACCTTTTTTTTACGTGCGGAAACCCCCTCGGGCCGTCACCCCACCGGGGTTTACGGTGGTGTGTCTGAATCGGACCGATTAAAACCACACGGTGCGCCACTCTGCGCCTGTAATAGGAGGGATCCGGGAACTGCTGTTATTAGGACATCGTCACTCCACCTGGTCTGTGGGCGTCTACGTTAAAAAAACTCAATACTAAACTGTATTTTTAAGGAAATTCCATATTTTAATGATTATCATTGTATTCCCACTCACGCAGTACGAGGCAATTGCCGTAATTACAACACTAGCTACTGCCCACGGCTTCGCTGGCATGATTATTTCTTATTTCGTGTATAACTTTGAAAATAACTTGAAATTTCATGCAACCTTCATCCCTTATTTTATCCCCTGAGGGGTGAAATTATCAAATATCCTTTCTAAGTCTGTTGCCTCAGTGGTATAGGTTCTGCCTTGATGAATCAGTCAGTGCAAGTAATTTTAGAAGTATAGTTCAAGGGAATGGCAATTCATTTCGTACGCCTCTTCGGGGTTAAAGGACGTGATTTTTTATTTTTTTATAAAAAAGAAACCACAAACTTCAAAATTACAACAAATATTTTTGGAACAAGTGGTACTTGAACCCTGGGACCCATTGTAAGATTAATGGGTTATGAGTGTATGTAGGTATATAATACACAATATTATGTGAGAACATTAAGAAAATTTACTAATTTAAAGCGTATTTCAAAAAAGGAACAAAATAAAAAAGAATTCAGAAGACAATAAAGTCACGATTGACAGGGTCATCTCGCCTGTTAGCGATGTCCGCTCCGAATATACCTACTTAGATACACAAGACAATATTATACAATAGACACCTGACAAGCGGCCGATTGTTCCCAAACCAGACGGAGCATGTATCATGTTAATCAGACTGCTGATAAACATACTTATATAATTCTAAATACTCGTACATATATTAAAATAAATACACCCACACACAGGACGTGTGATAATACTCATAACAAATCAATTTATCCTGACAGGGAATTGAACCCATAACTTCTGACACAGCTCTAAACATAAAATCACTAACTACTAAACTAACAAACCCGGCATTAAATCATCATCACCCATCATTGTTATCACCTTCACTATTTATTCAAATTTATTTAAAAAATAGTCCGTAGTAAGTAGGTAAATAATATTTATACTTACCATAGTGCGAAGCGTTTTCTGCTTTTTATTTTTTTGTTCTAAATTTAAACATCTGTCATGCTAAGCGTCGCACTCTGTAACATTTTTTCTCCTTTTTTAAGTAAAAAAATAGTTCTTAAACCTCTTGGCCGCAGATGGCTCAATAATCTTTCACGGGTGGGCGCCGATTTTCAAGAGCCTAACAGAACTTTTATAATTT